GCCGCCCAACACCAGGATTTCGTCAGCGACCGTGGGAAGAGATGGGCCGTTGTAGCGTTACGCCGGAAATCATCCCAGATTCGGCTTGGTGTTTGTCATTCTTTCCCTGTCTGGCCGTTATCCCTTTCTCTTTGTATTCGAGACCGGAACGCTGCCAGTCGCATATCTGAGCCTTTTCGGATTTCTAGTGAGCAAGCATGACCTGAAGAAGATCTCAACTGTTGTGGGTGTGCTGGTTACTTCTGCGTTGGTTGAAGAGACAGACCATCGCACACAGACGGGGCGTGACCTGCATCGACGGGTGGCCAGGTGTCAGCGGCGTGAACTCGGGGCATTCCGCCATGCTGCGGCACCCCGCATCCTGTCCAATTGGCTTGGAATTTCGTGAGATAGGGATGATGGCTCAGGTTGCCATTTGCGGAAGCTGAGAAGGCTCGAGGTGCCGGGCAAACAAGACCTCGTGTCAGAACATCGAGCGTTTCAGCGATAGTCCGTCTTCTGAGTAGCACTCAACTCGTGATCTGCACGGCTGGGCTACAACCAAGACAGGCGCAACTTCATTCGGCTCTGTCGGGATAGCATTCTGTCAGGCAGACGAAAGCCATTTGGCCATTGCGACCAGCTGAGCCAGAGTTGGGCGTGGCATGCCCCAGACTGTTCGAACCTTCTTTTGCACAACACATTGCACAGGGAAAGAAAGCCGCCTCTGGCGCCGGCCGGGATCGAAGTAGGGGCCCACGTGCGAGGGGCTTCGATTGGCACGGTAGAGAAACCTGCGACCTGTTTCCTGCAGCTGGGCACATCAGCCAAGTCACCGACTGCATTGCATCGGCACGGTAGCTACCAAACTAGTAGACACCCTTCTGCCCGAGGGCGCATTCAGCCTGGCTTCTGGCATGGAAGCCTGCCATGACGTCCTCCAGAAGGAGGTATGGAAGGTTCGACGAGACGGGATGAGAGCCCAGCCAAATTGCGACAGCTTGCCATCAGGCCATCCAGATCGTCGGGTTGAAGTCGGCAGGTTGAGACAGAGACAAAACTCTGCCTCATCTTGAGTGTTGCCGTGATGGACGGTGCCATCCAATGGGCAAGATGGATCGGTCACTCGAGTGCCATCGCGCTCCTGGGTGGTTCTCAGCACCGGGGACGAGGAAATGTAGGCCCAGAAAAAATCGTACCAGACCAGCAGCCAAAGGCCCCAATCTGGCCAACAGCCAAGTCCAAAAGCTGCCGAAGGAGAACGTCCAGGGATGTTTCTTGTTCTCCACTTCCCGAGGAGACAGAGGAAGAGTTAGAAACTGTTCCATTGAAGTTTCAAGAATCAGAACGGTGCCTTTTCGCCCACCGAGGGGGCCTCCGGTAGCCGACGAGCGGCGAAATGCCATCGGCAAGCTTCAATCATTGAGTCGATTGAGTCGCATTCCATTGATGCCGAAATTCTGCCGCGCAAAGTGATCCGTCGCCCATTTTCTGAGTTTTCAGCGGCAGGGAGGAGCTGAGCAGCACCCAGCCTTGCAGGTCTGTGTATGCAACCCGGCGTCGACGTGGGATGACCTGCTGCAGGCTGCACGGGGTGCAGAGATGACGGCACCACCGCAATAATTGCAGGTGCTCATGGCAACGTTTGTGCTATGTCGTCTTCGCAGAGAGCAAAATTGCAAGACAACTGTCTCTGCGGTTGGGGGCAGTCTCATTCTACCCCATGAGCTTGGCTCTCGTCAACGCTCCCCAGCGCGAGCTTCCATTCGGAAACGTCCAATCCGCAGCCGGTATCCTTACCAAACATTCTGTGCGTTTTCGTTCTAGAAGTCATTTGCCGTCCCTATGCTCGGTCCGTCGAACCGAGAAGTCCAACTTGTTTCGACGTTTTGGCATCTGGCAGTCCGAGCCATTCTGTTAGTGGATGAGTGACGGACAGAGTCGGCGGATATTGCTATCTCGTGTCGACAGCGATGGTCTGATCACATCGCACGGTTTTTGGTGATTCATTGAGACTGAGAGCGCGACTTGAATCGTAAAAGCTTGAGATACCCGGGATCAGGGAAGATTGCTTTGTGGATCGTGGAAATTGGGGGACCTGGCCCTCGAGAGCTCGGGACGCTGACTGCCTGAGAAGAACGGACGAGGGCCGCAGCGCGAACCTGAAGAGGGGGGAAATCCGAACAGCGACAGACGCGGTGTGTGATATCTGCAAGTACAGACACAGGTTGTCTGTGCCGGGGGGGGGGTGCCAGGGGTGACAATGGTCCGCACTTCTAGAACGCTCGCGATTTGCGGTGTGGAGCGGAAGGCCGGGCGGCGAAGATGAAGATCATACTGGCACCCAGCATTTGATATTGCCTAGTGGTTGAATATTGGCCGTCTTGCCTCCGAGAAGACGGTCCTAATAAGCTCATTGCGTATGATGTATGCTGCTCAACAGAAGGAGGATATCCGCATTCCGATGCCGACGGAATCCCGCCAACTCCTGCTTGTGGGGAAGGACGGGCGGGAGAGTCGGTCCATTGGAGCAGACGGGCAGTGAGGGCGCTGCCGAATGGATGGACCCCCGAAGTTAGGTATAATGTGCGGCCTGCTACGTACAGTACTGTGCGGGGTAGTACGCGGAGGCATTCCGACTCAATCGACTCGTCCTGCGCAATCGTTCAAGCGTAGGTGACGAGAGTCAACGAGTTGAAGCTGGCCGGTGTTGTAAAAACACCGCGTCGCGGCCTCCCTCTTCGCAGTCGCAGTGCAAGAAACATGGCCAAAGGGGTTGTTCCTGGAAGAGGGCATATCCCTGTAGACAAAGCCAAGCTGCTAGCAAGGTGTTGAAGGCGAGGTAACGACGTTCGCTGAATAAGGAGCCGGTACCTGGTCAGCGGATAAGGCAAAGTACTTAGACCACCTAGCTCCGGTAGGTTGGCCCCCAGAGCTCCAAGCACATAGCTAGAAATGAAGAGCGACCATCTGAGACGTCAATCGACCGAATCGCATCTTGAGGAGAGAGGGCTGGGCTTCAGCTGACGTAACTGCTGGACCCAACGCTGCCAGTAGCCGCCGGGCTAGATCCGTCCAAGAAGATGGGGGAAAGGAAGGCTAATTACCGACACGATGACAAGACGGCTGCCGGGGTGGATGGACCATGGTCTAAACGGCCACAGAGCGTTCTCGGCCAGTGCTGTACCATGCTTTCAGGCCTGCTACATCGTAGGAGTCAGGACACAAAAGCCTGCTGCCAGGTGGTGCAGAGGTTGCTGTAAGGCCGTAGGGGAAAATTTGGGCGATAGCTGCAATACCAAGAAAAGGGGTCATCTGCAGGCTCGCGGAGAGGAAGATTCCTGTGTTACTCGAACGTGCAGAGGGCAGATTTGCGGCCCACCAGAGTACCGGGGTTTGAAGTGGTGATGGGAGGCTCTCGGCCGTGGCCCTGCGGTTTGCTCCGGTTGGAGATTTGTCGAGATGGAGGAAACGAACTGATGACGGGGGTTTATCCAGCCATGTAGAAGATTTGCTTAGCCCAAGACCGTCGAGTTCAAGGAAGGCGTGTGAGGTGAGCGGCGTATGTGACGAGGAAGTGGTTTGCGGCTGTTGCTTGGGACAGAGATACATTTGACATGGCGGAAATAGGCCCCCAAAGAGGATCGGATAACTGGTGCAATTGGAAAGTGCTGGAAATATTGGCTGGTGAAGAGGCAGGAGCCACAATTTGAGATATGACGAGATGTAATCCGGGGTGAAGGATACCGAACAGACAGCTGCTAGGCCGGAAGAAAAGATCGTGGAATCGGTGGACGTTGTCTGCGCAAGCCAGCAAGCAGCAGTGTTTTCCAGGTTGTCGAGGCATGCGTGCCTCGATTTTGCTTGTGGGTGTATCTGTACGTGTGTGGTGTGCGAGTGTGCTGGCCGTTGAATGCAGAGGTGAGGTGTCCTGGCCCTGGGCCCCTTGCCCGCGCATCCGTATCCGCATCTCTGTTCTGCCGCTCTGCCTGAAAGGCAGCTAGCCCTGCGAATGATGCATTGTGGACATTTGAAAGACTCCACCATTGGGTTCCCAGAGACGTATCCGGTGCATGTGCAGCTGAATATGCAGTGTGCGTGCTGCAGCAGGCGGCTGCGAGGAGCAGGAGCAACAGCAGCCCGGAGCAGAAAGAAACGAGTCCAAGGCGCTCCTTCCTGTCGTACACTGCCCAAAAAATGGTCAGGTCAAGTGAGCAGGTGTTGGTGAGGTAAGGAAGCCACGTGTATTACTAAGTCCCGTCGAGGAGGAACTGAGGAAGCTGCGGTCTGCAACCATGGATGGGAAACTGCAACTGCAACTGCAACTGCAAGTGCGGTCTGCGGTCTGCGGTCTGCGATACAGCCGATACTTGGGTGGGTACGTCTTCCTTACCAGCGTCACTGACCACCTACTGGGCTGCCAGAGGTTTAAGTGGTTGACAGGGGTTCTCTCCACGCACTGGTCCACAGACGATCCAGTCATTATCTCGGGTCGTTGAGATACTGGGCTGTCCCCGAAGCCAAGTGGAGTGGGGTTACCATGGTGCACCTCTGCAGTTTGGTGTTTCCGTTTCTGCCAGCACAGGGCTTCGGCGGAGAGGCACCGGGCCAGACGATCGCAAAGAACAAGACACAAAAAGAAAAGGAGACCACTGGCAGTGTCGGAGCCCAAGGACAAGACGCGCAGGGGAAGCCAAAGGAACGACGTTGGACGAGTATGGGAATGCCCGGGAAGAACAAGGACGCGGACGGGAACTCAAGACATGCAGAGGTACCGACACAGTGAAGTCGAAACGGCGCTAAGGCAAGAACTTGAATGGAGATTTTGATGGGAACTGGGCATGTAACTGCGCTGTAGGTAGGGTACTTGAACAATAGTACCGTACCTTACCCGCGACTTTTTGCCTATCGTCCTTTTTTTTTTTTTTTTTTTTTTTAAATTCCTCCCCCATCTTTGTAGACCTGTGGATGCTGTCTCTGCCCTGCGGGACGTTTTCCCCCTTACCCCTTGGAGACGAAGCATGTTTGTCTCTGTCAACCAAAACTCCGTCATCGTTCTCGCCCAGGTCCTTCGACTCGGACTCGTGCCTGGCCGGAGACATGAATCTGAGATCGATCCAAGGGGGGCGGCGGGCGACGAGACTAACCAGACCAGGCAGGGAATTTCTCCATCTCAATCTCGCGGTGCTTCTCCAGTGGATTCCCCGTCGACATTGACTTCGCCCTGGTTCGCCCACGAACTCTGCTGATGGGTCACTGTGAGATTATGTTCAACTGATTGCGTCTTTCCCACGCGATGTCGAATCCTAATTATCCCCGACAACCGCATGCTGGCAATAGCGTCTGGCGACTGGCCGCAGGCGACAACCGATGTCGAAATCTCGTTTTTGGGGAGCGCGGACAGGGAGCCGGTCAGTAACAAAGAAGCCCTCCACAAGCTTCCTCGGCTTTTCTTCTTCTTTTCATCGTAACACGCCCCCCTCTCTCACCCCGTTGCGGGGTTCACTCCTCCTTCGGAGATACTTTGTACTTACTGTAGCGCTGGTGAAGGTCCAAGCCGTTTAACGACGAGATATCAGACGAAGGAAACGGGCTGGAAAGCGACAGTAGGGAAAGGAGAGAATAGCCGTAGGTACGGCACAGTAGGCGGGCTACTTCAGATATTCAAGGGCAATCCCGAAATGCAAAGTGATTAGACTGGGCAGCAGGTCGGCAGAACGCGATTCACATTCAACCGTTCCCTACCGACTGGCGGTGCTGCGGTACGTGCCTCTGAAGGAAGTGTCTTGTCTCATGTCGTCTCGACTTGCTGGTGTCCGGGACACCGTCTCCCTCGCCGTGTGTGGGATGTCGGCGAGTAATCACCAGACACTTTCAAAATTCTTGGGAGTATGGAGTCAAAAAAAGGGAGACGGAAATCCAGTATTTCGGAGAGGAATCCGGGGGCAGGCGACGATTCTCGGCCAGTCAGTCAGTCCAGTCCAGTCCAGTCCAGTCTCCTGGGGCCTTGTCTGTCCGCTGTCGAGCCGGCCCAGGTATTTGGTTCAGAGTATGCAGGCGACAGGAGGCAGGTAGGAACCTACCTAGGTAAGCAGGCGTGCCGGAAATAGAGATGGGCTTTTGAAAAATTGATCCGAGTCATCCAGGTAGGTATTGCAGACCGTGGTGAGGCAAACATCACGCACAAGGAGAAGGAGATTGAACGGCGCTCTTACACACATCTCACCACCAACACCAACACGGCTCCAATGCAGCACGAAGACCTCCCCAGCCTGATGCAGTGCTAGCAGGTCCTCCTGTTCGGCCACCCCCACCCCGTCGTCGTCTTCTTCTTCCCCTTCCTCCTCCCGTGCCAGCGCCGCCCACGCCTACTACATGCTAAAGTACATAGCGTCCCGTTCATCGTTCCTACCCCCTCCCCTGCCCCCCAAATCCCAGTCCCAGAATCTACGAGTACGTCCCCAGTGTAGCCGTCCTCTGTATGGTGTGTGGTGTGTGGTGTGTGGTGTGTGGTGAGGTGTGTGTGTGTGTGTCCCCGTCGGTCCCAGGCCGCTCTTTCCCGCACCTGTTTCGGTGCACACCCCCTTCCCCATCCACATCCCCATCCACATCCACACGTCCCCTTCCACCTTCGAACTTCGACTTCGACTTCCACGGAATTGACGTCTGGTGTGGGCGTTGTCCACTTTGCTGTGAGTGAGGTGGGAGGCAAGTGTCCGGCGCGCTCTGCTCTGCTCTGCAGCTGTGTGTGTGCTGTGCTTGGCCCTTGCCTGTCTGCCCCAGCGTCCTTTCCCTCACGGTGCTAGTGCTCCTTGCCTTCCCGGTTGGCACCTCACCCACCCCCATCCCCCCCTTCCTGACCTCACCTTACCTCCTTCCTACTACTGCCTCCTGCCTGCCCCTACGAATACCTACGTACCTAGCTACGAATACCCAGCCAGGCAAGTACCTTACCTAGGAAGGCACCTCACTCACCTCCCGTTGGTATTCTCCTCCTAGACCTCCACTCTTTCCTTGGCTGGAGTCCTGTTGCTGCCGAACCCAATTGCAGCGCAAGCCTGCTCCGTCCACGCAGCAGCGACTGCCCTTTCTGCCTTCCGCGTTGGCTACCTACGGTTCCTGAGGTGGGTGTCTGTCCACGACTGAGGTGTCCGGTGTATGTGGTGTGTGTGTGGTGTGTGTGCGTGTGGTGTGTGTGCCTTCCCTTGCTCTCCCACTCTTTTTTTCCTCACCTCTCGTCCTTTTTTTTCTTAATTCCTGCCACCTGGGATCGGTTGCACTAGCAAACAAGAGTCATCATCATCACTCTCTTTGTGGCTTTCTCCCTGCCCTGCCCTCCTCCTGCCTGCCTCAAGTAACGCATTCCCTCGCCACGGTCTGAAGGACAAGCAAGCATCCGTCTGAAAAAAAGGCCAACCCTCCCCAGCAAGAGGAGAAGAAGAAGCACCCACTGCCGCCAAAACTCCAGCCAACCTGGCCGCACCGTACCGCACCGCACCGCCCGCACCGTCTCATTAGGCATAGACCCGACTCGACCCGCCAGTTCGCCGCCGTGTAGTGTCGCTTCCCACACACTCTCTTGTCGCCCGCCCCAAAACGCACACGTCGTCGTCCTTGCCGTCGCCGCCACCTTCGTCGACAAGTTTCCGACTCCTTCTCAAACTCCGAAAACCACTCTCTCGCACGCGCGCATTTGAAGCCAACCGTCTTGTTTCCTCTGGTCTTGTTTCTGGCGTCTGCAACATCGCCGGCCGTTGACTCGATATTTCCGCGCAACGACATCTGGAAACAACCCCGTCCCTCTTTTTTCCCTTTTGGTGAGTGGTTTCCCTGTCTGTTCGTTGCGACCCCCCGGCGCAAAAAAAGCCGCGAGACATTTAAGCGCGGCGCCGCCCATACCCAGAAAATTTATTTTCCCTGTCCCTCCCCGTTGGCCTCTCCCCTGACACCACGGCGCCTTCCACCCATCCATTTGCGACACCGTTCTTCCAAGGCTTCCCATCCGCGCCTTCGGCCCCGAACGTCGCTTTGAGACTATCTCAACTAATTCGACCTCGAAGAACAAAGACATAATCGAGTCTAGCCTCCTCTTCGGTCTCCGAGCCTCAAATCCCTCAGACAGACCCGTCAGCGGCCTTCCGGTTTCACCTCCAGCGAAGCACCACCAGCACCGCCATCATGTCCTACTACGAGAACAACCCTCAATGGTCCAATCCCGGCCAGAACAACTGGGAACACCAAGCGCCTCCTGTCCGTGCTGGTGAGTCGGCCCAGTCGCAACATCGCCAAATTCAACAACAATCGGAAACCGGAATTGACTCGAGGTTCCCGTCAACAGGTGCCAGCGGCCCCACGGCTCAGGACGACTTCGCATTCTTCTACCAGTTTGAGGGTAGGTCTACTGTTCTCTCCAGCGCGTGGCCGACGGTCGGCCCGGCGCGAGTTTCTCTGCGGACTCGCGCCCGGCAGGCGTCGCGCGCAGGAAGACCCAGCTGACGAGATGATACTTTAGATGTGGTACGGACACTGACTGCTAGGCCTACAGAGGTTGATCGTGCATACGAGAATCTCGCCAAGAGCGGGAAGTCTTACGGAATGGGCGGTCGACGTGAGTACCCAACCCCTGGCGGCCCCAAGATGGGCCCTACTGGTCCTGGTCCCGCCAGAAAGTCTCTCGACTTCAGTAAGTCTGCTCGCACTTGGCGGGCAAATCCGCGGCCTTCCCCTGCTGACGCAGACCTCGCAGCCGGACGCATGGGAGCTGGAGCTGGAGCTGGAGCCGGTCCGCGACCGCACTCGATGAACCAGTTCGATGATGCCCGAGGCCACCCGAACTCGAACCTCCAAAACTTTTACGCCTCTCAGCGCCACCAGTCCTCCCGAGGATCCAACGACGCGGAACAGATGATGCAGGCCAAGAGAAGGATGGCCGCTCAACGGGAGCGGGAGCTGCGCAACCTCCACACTGAGCAGCAATACCAGCGAAGTAGGCCGCCCTCTACTGTATAGCACACAAACTTCATTGTCCACAGGGGAGACAGCAAAGAAGAAGAAAAAATAGATAATTCAGGCCGAGGGGTTTCACCATCATGCAACATCCTGCTGCCCCGTCATGTTACTGTCGAGAGATGTCTCCCTGAAAGACCTTCCTGTCCCACCCCTTCACGTAAGACATGGGCACTTGAGAGGACTTTAGGCTAACCACAACGTGCGCGCAGCTGTCGTTTCTGACATCCCCTACGGCAACAAGGCCATGTCCGAGGAGGAGACTCGCGAGCTTATCGCTCGGCAGCGGAGCGCCTTGTACGGCGAGGGCCAGTTTGCCGAGAAGGGAGGCTACGTCGACGAGACTGGCGCCGTGCGTCCTGGCGTGCCTGGACACAGTGGTCCTTCTAGTCTGCGGGGCCAGTCGCCCTTGACGTACGACATCACCCGCGGTCCCCCTCCTCACGGTGATGCCAACACACCCGTCTCTGTCACTGACGGCCCCGGTCCCATCGCTGGTCCTCCGGGCGAGCAAGGCTCTCGTGCTGGCAGCACTGCCAGCCCTCAGCCGAACGCTCCTAACAACAAGAGCGCTTTCGAGTCGGCTGTGAGCCAGGCCGCCGCCCGTACCAACAACTCTTCCCCTGGTGGCTCCCCCCCTCGCCAGGAGATGCCAGGATCCAAGCCGGCCCAGACGGTTGCTCCCATCGGTACTCGTCCCTCCGGCACTCCGACTGGTGCCTCGAACTCGTCTTCGAAGCGATCCACCACCCCCCTCGCCTCTCCCGGCGGTTGGGGCCGTGGCAACGGCGTCTGGGGCCCTCAGTCCTCCGGCCTGAGCCAGCCTCCTGCTAGCGTCTGGGGTTAGGAAACCCAGACGCCCAATCCAAAGACCCCTCCGAGGAGACAGCGCCGCGGCGCATCTACAGACTGAATGAAAAAAAGGGCTCGATGACTTAACCGTTTACGTGGGTGGTTTTTTAGTTTGTTTTCGGTCTGGATTGATTTCTCCTCGGACACGGAAAACTTGATATATACCTCGGGCTCAACACGGTATTCGGAGTGAGGGTGTCTTTTCGGCATCTTTTGAGGAGTTTTCTTTTACACGAACCGCATTCTGCAATCACGGAGTCGAAAGTATTGCTACGGGAAAAAGAGATGCATGTCACATGGGCGTGGACAGGGGTTTTACACACACGAGTTGGCTTCGGGTTTGACACAAGCTTCGGCGGGAATATCGCAGCGTCTGGGAATGTTTCGGATGATCTGGGAATTCTGGCGAAGGCGAGCACGGAGCGGGAACGACATTTTTTTTTTTGGTTCTTGGGAACGTTGTCCTTCGAAGCTGGGCATGGGATGAATTCGGGTGCCAAAAAGCGACGAGGGGCAGCCTTATGATTCGAAATTGCGAGCATACATCGGCGTGGGCGTGGATCTCGATACTGGTTTAACTCGAATGGGTTGGGACTGGGAAACGCACATCCGGGGAGTTGACACAGCACACAGAGACGACTCTCTCTTCACGCGGCGATAAAATCACAAAAAACAGGGGTTTGGGATACGGGGTGTTTGTGGGTTGTCATTTCTCATGGGGGGATATTTTCCTTTTCTTTCCTCTTTTTTCTCCTTTTCTGCTTCTCGGGGTTTACCACTGGAGGTCGCGTCGTGGGGAGTTTTCTGCCTTTTTTCGGCACTCGAACGGGATCT